CCCTCCCCTCCCCTCCCCTCCCCTCCCCTCCCCTCCCGCCGTCCAGACCCTGACATCCTGAGCTATGCGGGGGGCTGAAGTACATCTTGCCCAGCTTGAGCATCCTGAGCTCCTGCCGCCCCATGACCTCCTGCCCGAAGAAGAAGTTGGAGAACATGTCCAAGATCCAAAAGCCGAAAGAGATCCTCACCAAAAACAAAAATCGACTTCGGGCACTTGCATGTCAGGCAAATGATGAAAACTAGAATCAAGTCAAGTGCTAAACAAGAAGCAAACCAGTCTTCCTGGCTGGACAATAGGCTCAACTGTGCTTTGTAGCTTTTCTAAAACACGGGATATATTTTTGAGAAGGGAAACCCAGTGGGGGTTCGAATCCCAGTTGAAGACAACTTCGTTCCGATGCACATTCCTCTGCTTCTCCTTGCCATGCCCCAGGCCGGCGCTTTTCGGCCCTTCTCCGCATTTCCCGTTGATCCACCCTCACCCGAAATCAGGTTCCCGCTGGTTGGCGGACTGGCTGCCTTCCTCTTTGGTTTCAAGGACAAACGGGGGACAAACGGGGGACAAACGGGGGCCAAACCATAGCGGTTCCCCAGCCTCACTATACATTTAGGTGTAGATTATTATCCTTTTGCCAAGCATTTGAAACTCGATCTGTTCGATGCATGCCCCCCACCAAATGCATCCCCTTGACTTGCCAAACTCGGCCTGAAATTAACTCCGGGTTCGAGGGGTGAGCAAATGTGCTGTCCCCTGATTAGTGGGGAGAAGCCTGTGTTTCCTCCAAATCAAAACGGATTCCATCCAAGGGCAATGATTCAGGCATCCCCCAAACGCCCTTCGTTCTGTGTCTCCTCCAAAGTTGTGCAAAAATGGATTCTTTCTCTTCTGATCCGAGCCCGCACATCGATCGCTCCTGCTCATGAGCGTCAAGAAGTCCATGGTGCTGTCACCCAAGTTGAACAGCTCCAGCGGCACCATCACCATGTCCTCACGCGCAGACCCAAACTTGATTTGACCCTGCGAAAGAGAGAAAGGTAACAGTTCATGCTCGATGGGAAAACCAAACGGAAATCTGAAGAGCTTCCACCATCTGGTGCCCGAAAGGGAAACATGAAGGAAAACGTAGCAATGCCCGCCTCAGCAACCCCTTACAAATGAACGAAACCATCACGCCCACATTCCCTGCCCTCTTTGCTGGTTCATTGCTGTGTGCCTGCATGCACTCTAGGAAAGTTGTTGTAGTTCGCAATCCAAACCTAAGGAGCTTTCGAGCAGGGGACCTTGATCATGGCGCTTGTTTGATTTGCCCAACTGCATGGAAGAAGCTCCCACTGATCAACTTGGCGACTCCACTCAGCGCAGGAGTGCCTACCTGTGTCCCAAACCGAAGGTGCAGTATTGAGGGACCCCTCATAATTCCGGAACCAGCATTCGGCTGTTCCAGATCCACTACGGCTATGCACCCCAGCATCTATACTAGTCGCCTTAACCATCTCGCATCTGTAAAGTAAAGATCTCTAAAGTGTGCTCGTAGCAGGTCATACAAACAGGGTGTCCACCGAATTCGGTCCGGTCGCACTCGATTTCAGCTTGGCCAGTCCTGCCCATTTTTGGGCAGCCTTGTACTTGTTGCAAGTCCCCTTTACACATTACTGTATGCCGCCAAAAAAAGGAACCTAAAAGGTGATGCTTCATCATCCAAACGAAGAAATACGAGAAGCCCTTCTCTTCGCAAAATCTGGGGTTGCCTTCTTTGGGGCTAGAGGTTTATAGTCTCAACTGCCAACTGCTATCAGTGACTCGACATGTACACGCAACTCAAACTGAACTGAATCTTACTACTAGTTCTACGCCGGGTATGTATGTCGTAAAAGTACACATGGATGATGGCATGGTTATAAAAATACATAATGATTAAATAGTTTGGTTTTTTACAAATCGAGCGAGACATTCAATGCTCTCAAGGAAAATATTCCTGTTCAAATCACAAGAAGCTTGGAACGACATTGAAATCAAGAGAACTTTTTTGTTTCACAGGTGTGACATCTAGTTGGGCACTCTTTGGTGGACATCATCCACATGGGAGCTGTCCACGAGCCATACTCCATATGTGGGCCACGCGGTCCTCGCGCCTTACAAGCTCACCCTTTTTCAAGAGACATTCCGGACCCCCGGCCTTGGCCGTGTGCACCACTGCTATTTGAAGCCCAAAGAGGCGCTCAAGTCAGCAGGCAATTGGGCTCAAGTCATCCCAGCCCTCCAGCTCCGCCCTTCACAGCCCAACCGCGGCCCATCCAGTTCAAGCTCCGGGCTCAGGGAGCTAAGGCAACAAACTCAAGGCTCGGGCCTCAGCCCCAGCCCGTCACACTCATTCCAGCTCATTCCAGCCACCTCGTTGGCCGGCTCTCGCAGCTGGATGCAATCACTTTGTGCAGCCCCAGCATCATTTGCTCAAGCCCGCATTGCTCTTGTGGTTCTTTTGAGCCAACTGTGGTCGGTTTCCTGTTGGCTTCCCTTGAGAACCAATCAAAACAACACCCCCCCCCCCCTCCCCTTAAAAATAAAAAAGAGACACGCCCACGTCCATGTTTCTCCCCCGCTGTGTTTCTTTCCGAGCTGCCCAGCCGATAAGCAGGGAGCCCAGCAGGGACCACACCATCTGCAGCCGGCTCCTGGGCTCCAGAACCAAACGGCCCAGGAAGGTCTCGTCGCGGAAGCTCGCGCTCCTGTCGCATGGGGAAAACCCCCCACTCTATGTCGGCTTGGGACAGAGTTGGAGCAACATGGGCTCGGGTTTCAGGTTGGCTGGTTTACGGGTCTGGGTTTACGGTTCGTTAAGGTTGGCTTGGCCCTCTGGATTGGTTTCTTGGGACGCTGCAGGGTGGGTTCAACTACTTCCAAGAAGACGCGGGAAATCGGATTCTCCTTTGGGACAAACCCACTGGCATCCTCCAAACCGCTCCTAGTGCAGAATCGAAGTGGACCTGGAATCCCTGCAAACCACTACACAATAATTTTGAGGGCAATGCGTCTCCACACAAAAAAGTTAAACCCAAAACCGCCCACATGGGCCCCATGTCAATCCCAACGGTTTTGAACACTCCCAGCCCCGATTTTCAGGGCTCGCCATATTTCCACCTTACATCACCCCAAGAAAATCGCCTAAGATTGCAACCCACAAGGCGATTTCAAGGCGATGGTCGAACCATCCAAAGATAGGAAGGACTGTCATATGGCGACTGCAGGATCCAAAATTTACTAGTGGAAAGCACACTCATATGAAGGGATGTCTTTTTGAGGGTACACCTATGTGTGTGTGTGTGGTTTGATTTTGGGAGCCAAAAGGAAAACCCACCTTCTTGGGGTCGCCTAAAAAACGACACTCGCATATGTGTGTCCAGTTTTTGGCACTCATCATGCTTGTCAATTGTCTCAAAGCCCCCAGAAAACAAGTACCCTACATTGAGGTTTTTGTAGATGCTATTGTTGTTCTTGCAATCCCACCCCGCACCCCCCCAACCCCCCGACCCCAAGCAGAAAATGTTGATTCCGTGCAGCAAGCCCACCACCCAGCTTTTCTAGAATTTGCTGGCCATGCGTCGGCTGGCCCATGCGAGTCTTGCGATCCGGGTAGCGCTTGGTGACGCGGAAGCTCTTGCTGCGGTTCATCGTTGACACCTCCTGGCGATGCTTTCGCGTTTGGCGATGGGATGGATGGACTTGTGGGGAGAACAAAAACGCACCGCGGAAAAGGAACCTGGGAAGTTTCAAATCACACAAAAGGGAAATGCAAAAGAAGCATAGATTCAAGCTGTAGTGGAATCCCGGCCAAACGGACAGTTCAAAGGACATGGATGATGCGTGCAAGGGACGTTGCATGGAAACCCTGGTGCTGCTGCAACTGAGAGGCAGCGGAGAAAACACCCAAGCCATGCCGCTGCAGTTCAATGAGCAACGAGCCTGGATGTCTGGCATGTGCTTGTTGCTAGCTCCCCTGCACTGCGGTTTCAGCCAAATTCCACAGAGGAAGCTTTGGCTGTCAAGTGGCCAGAGACAACAACAAAAAATGCAACCCGACAGTACGGCGTCCAACAAAAAACCCACCAAGCGACACCTCCCCTTCCCAGCCAAAGGCGAAGGCCTGCCAAGACCGCGTCCAGGCGCCCCGGAGCTGCAGATCGCCAGCTCCCCACTCCTCCGCTGGAACTCGCCCGAGAAGCAGGTCTGTATTGGATTGAGCGAGACTCCAAAACACTAGGAAGAATCAATTGCTCTTGTTGTGCAGAATATCATTCAAGTTGGCAAAGAGGTGATGTCTCAATCCCAGACAAAGCAGGGGAAAAAAACTTTCCTGAGATTTGGGGCAGGCTGATGCCTGAGGACTTTGAAAAAAAACAATGGTCATGCAGTCGATGCCTGGATGGCTGAAACAAACTCTCCACAGATGTGGCCGCACAATCGAAGCGAAATACATGAGATACTAGGGGCCTGGCATTCTGAGTAACATCATCATAAAACATGAATATCATTAGTCATCACTTGTTACGTGTTTCTCTTTAAGCGCAAGTAGCATTGAACCAACCAATCTAGGGGGAGAGCTTTAATACATTCTCAAAAATATACAATGCTGGGTGCAAGCTCAATCGTTCACCAAAGCAACACAAAAGAAATGTCAAACCCATACCACAAGTCCATGTCACAGGCTGTTACAGGAGTATACATGCATGCTGTTAGACGTGCTGGAGAATGAGGGCTGCTGCAAAAAAGGACCAAACGGAAACTGGCCCCCCCTTTTTTGGCCGTGGGGGAGTATTTGTTGCATTATTCGTTGCGTGCAGCTGCAACTTGACTCAGCTGCTGTTCAACCCTGGAAAAAAAAAAAAACAAAAAAACACCTGAACAGGAGAGGGGGACTGTTGATGGGTGTCGGTTCAGCATGCTGTGCGGGTCTCGAGAGAGAGGCAAACTGTGCCAATGTGTCGTAAGTGTGTTCTGATCCTCAGACGGAAGGCGGGGTTGCGTTTGTTCTTGGCACCCTTGAGATGCCTTGAGTCCGAATTGATGTCAGTGCAGCAGCAGCAGCAGCAGCAGCAGCAGCAGCAGCAGCAGCTTTAAGCTTCAAGGTCCAAACCCTGTGATGCACCTGTTTCCGCTTATAGCATGCTGGTATCAGGCAAACCGCCAGGCTGGCCATTGCATGATGCACCGCAAACACATGATTACAAAGAATGGGTTTTCCGCTTGCAACGTCCCGGCAAGAGGCAAGAGACGCCAAAGAAAGATCACCAGCCCAGCAATGGCAAACCGGGAGCAATAAAACCCCCGGTTGATTGATAGCAAGGTGTGCTATCGAGGAAGTCCTTCACTTCTGGAGGGAACACCACCATATGGATTCGCAAGCGGTTTATCAATGCTGGGACCCCAACAAGTTCCTCAGCCCCAAGCACCCTCGCTCCTCGGTCGCCTCTGAACTCTCCACGCTGTCCTGACATGGCGACCCACATGTTCCAAAAAGGGGAAGGCGATCCCACAAAACATCTGGTCCAAGTAGCTAAAACCAACGGGTCAAAGAAATCGTTCTACCCCCCACATGTGTGCTTGGCTCTCCGAATTTTGGCCTCGGCCCAGCAAAGAATGCTTCCCTCGGAGAGCTTTCCCACGGGTTTGGGTGGCACCAAGCGAAAGCAAAGAACGCAAATCTGTTGTAAATCTGTTGCCACAGATCATGACTGATGCATTTTGGGGCTTTGAGTGTGGTGATGTGCTCTTTTGAATTGCAACCTGCCTCACGGGCAGGCCTGGTCGGCCAAAGGGTTAAGCTCTCTGGGGCAATTGCACGGGTACTTCATTCAGCCAGCCAAATCAAGCGAGAAGCGTGACGCGTCTCTTGCGTGCCCTAGCATTGGACCGGCACTTCAGAGCCGTACCGTGGCCCTTGAAGGATCTGAGTTGCCCTGTCACTAATCACTCGTCATCGAGGTTGGGCTCCTTGCTATGGCTCCAATAAGGATGCGTACGTCTCTCGCGTGGAAAGAAAGGCTTTCTGGCAAAACAGAGCCTTCCCAAAGCGATTTGCTTGTATGGGAACAGTGTAAGCTCTGAATCTAGGCAGCATAGGTATAAAAAGCCGGCAAACAGAAAAACTCACGCAGGTCGGTTGCCGATGGGAAAAAGCAGAGCCAGAACCAGCACCTAATGCAAGCCAGGTACTCTCAATATGCATGGCTCTAGGGTTGCTTTGGCGGAAACGTGTGTCGCTTTGAGCTTGTACCCATTTGTGAGGCTTCCTGTGGGTGTAACTCTTGACTGCGGACCTCTTGGTGGACATCATTCACGGAGGGATTGTGTGTGTGTGTGAGATAAGTTATGTCCACCAACCAGCTTTGAAGACACAACATTCACCAAAGCAGGCGACCTCTGTCTTCCGAATGGCCTGCTCCAGAAGTTTGATGCTCAAATCCAGCCACCGATCTGATACCTCGGAGCATGTCTGTGAACCAACGAACTGTTTTGGATGCCGGTCAAGATGAGGAGGCACTCCTCAAATGCCATGTTGTGTTTTGGCTTCCTACGGATAGGCTTCCTCTGGATGGGTATTGTTTGGATGGTCCTTTCAAGGCCATCGAAGGGCCTAGTGGGAATTTTATCATAATTCCATATGTTCCAAAGGCAAATGTCCTTCAACGGGTCCATGGGAGCCTTTGTGTTATCAAGCCTTCCTACACATGGCACAGCCCATGTTGCGCTGTTGGAGATCCACCAAACCAGGCCACCAGCTGTGACTTCCAGCCCGCACTGAGAAGAAAAACTGTTCCGGCATCCGCATTCAGGTACTATATGTAAAGGAGTTAGTAATCCACATGCGTCCTAATGCATTATCTGGCATCCGGAGAGGACGCTGAACCAAACGAAATGAGCCCCGGTTGAGCCCAAAGCCACACTGAGCGCCCCACGTCCAAGTCCGGCAGGCGGGGACTGTCGAAAGTGTACGCCAGAACCTCGTTGGACCTCCGTGGAAGATCGGCTGATGGCTCTCCAAGGCCACGCAGGGACTGGGGTGCAGTGGGGTGGAAGCAGATCCAGCAGGCTGGCGTGTGGGCAAAAGCACTGATCACTTGCCCCTGAAAGCCTCTCGCGAAGGGCACATAAAGTGCTGGTTTGTTGCGGAAATAGATTTCTGTGCAGCTTGTGCAGCTTGCAGCTATGGTCAAGGCCTTGGTTCATGGCGTTCCCTCGCGACCCTAAGCAGTTAAGCCTGCCGTGATCCCGGTTTCAGGAGCCATTTTCTGTTGCCATATTGCAACAGTCTCTGGAAAGCCCACGCAGTTCCTCAAGCGCCTTTGGAGCTCCATTTATGTTGGAGTTCCATGTGAGCTTTCATTCAAGGCTATGCTGAGGGGTGCGCTATGAAGCACAAACCTTGCAAAACATGCCCAGCTTTCCTTTCCAATCCTCCAGCCCGTACACATTGCAATCAGTGGGTCCGGAAGGTCGCAGGTACATTCTGCCACTTCATTGCGCATCCCACTGCAGTCCCGCGTCAAGGGCGGAAGAGAAGAACAGTACAAACAACAAAGAACAGTAAAAGCGACAAAGCACACACACATAAAATAATATGTTTAAAAACAAAAAAGACTGCTCCGAATCCCAAAAGGTGGGCGAGGCATAAGCACGCGGCAGCAAAAGCCGCTCCGTGCCCAAAACTGCCACCTTCCAGCCAAGCAGCTCCTCCCGCTCAGCTGCGCAGAAGCCTGCGCCTGGTCTAGGTGGTCTCCCTAGAAGACAAAGAAAGGTACGCTCAAAGAGAAACACGGTGAACCCCCCCCCCCCGCCCAAAAAAAAAAACGGACGCCCCAACCACAACCACGGAGGACCAAAGGACTGCCCCAGGCGCGGTGCAGTCCAATGAGCGCGCCTCGATGCGCGTTCGGCCTCTGCGGCGATGGCGCGTGGGCCGCCCGTAGCACTGTCTCAAGGCGCTGTAGCTCCTCACGTGGAGCATCAGGGGACCAGTTCTTGAGGGTTCTTCGATAGCAAAGTAGGAGGTTCATAGGGCTGGTGAGTTGATTAGTCAGAGGGGGTGTTGTGTTATTCGCAGGGGTTGCCTTGCAGGGGGTTGGCCCGACAAGTGATTTTGGATCCTCGCTAAAATGGAAGGACAGCCTTATTGGTCAGAATCACGAGGAAGCCGCAATGTGAGTTGTTCGAGCCTCCAGGGACTCAGGCCAACAGTGGCCTTTAAGGGACGCCCGGAAAATGTCCATGTCGACCCTGAATTCAAGCAACACCTGGTGGATATGGGTTTTCATCGGGGAACCCCCAACAAAACAGATTGGTGGACAATACAAAATAATGGATATCTGCAAAAGGGTCTCCATTTACGTACCCAAAAGGTGGCTGCAAACAAAAAGCCTCTGTACAGTTTCAAAGGCGACATCCCGGTGAAGAATGGGCATGCTTACGAAGATGTCAAAGTGGCACATCTTTTGTAAAAGGGTTGTCACACTTCATGGTTGGACAATGAGCTGAAAGCTGAAAGGATCCCACTTAGCAAAGAGGTACCCATTTGACCTAAATGCAAATGGACTGGAGGGTCACTGTCCTCTAAGCAAAGCTTAGGTCTGACCCAGGTTATTCCAAAACCCCGCATGAGAGATCCAAGGTGGGGCCGGCCTTGTGGGTCCTCTATGTTTGGATACATCCATATTTCCCCATATCCCACTCAGTAATTCTGTATTTGAGTCGTCTTTTTGGTTGCGAACGGGGAAGATTAAACTCGCCTGCCAAACACTGGTACAAGGGAAGAGATTGGGTCGTCAACCACCGTCCCCTCGGTCCCTGCTGAGGATTTGCTCGAAGGATTTCGTACATGGTGTGGGCATGGCGAATGGAGGTCTTATCGCAAAGGCCGGAATGCTCAACCTTTGTTCTGCAGTGCCATATTCTGCCTCTATGTGTTCCAGGGACAACATCAATCACTTAATGGACCACGGCCGGCCAATGAAAAATAGCCTCTTCCAGCGGCAATTCGGAAGCATGTTGGTTGGCACAGCTTTCCGGCCGAGAAGCAACAATATCTTGATCATCTCAACTTAGATGCGGCAACAAAGCCTGCAGCCGATACAGCAGCGAAAACATCACCAGCAACCAACCGTCAAAAATTAACCATGTCTTTGAATGAACGCGGTGCTAGGACATAGTTGCGTTTTCGTGCGTTGCCACAATACAATTGATGAAACATGTTATCCATGTGATCGGCATAATCTTCAAGATTTCGTAACACTTGCAACTGTCTAAACAAGCTTCGAAGGGCGATCATACACGTTCCGCTCACATTAACGGCGAACAAATGACAACCCAAATCATTTGCTCAACGTTTTCAGCCTGCAACATGCAACTATACAAGCGCTGTTTGGTTTCGAACGCTTGACCAAAACGTATTGACGGCAACAGGTTTAAAGCAATTAAGGCATTTGTCAGAGAAATGCTGGGAAAATGATTGCCAGGAGGGCCAGTTGTGTCCAGTTGCTCTAGTACGTAAGACTTTAGTATTCCATTCCAAAACTTTATCCATGGCCTTCTTCGGGATAACTACAGAATTGCAAATGGAAATGCGAGTCGTCAAGCGATGCCAACTCTTCGGTCACGCCAAATTTAGCAAGGCTCCCATTGAAGAAACTAAGACGTTGAAAGAAACAACCCGAAATGAGTGCAAAGTCAATCTGAGGAAATGTGCGGCGATACATAATTTGAGCCAGATGGACGCAACATCCGTTAAACGTCCCCAATTACATATTGAATTAATTTCAAAAGGATACGACGTGTCAAACAAGCCCAACTCAAACAGATGCCCCACTTCTAGTATTGTAAGAGCGGCACCTGCCAAAGCGTGCGGTTTTCTTTCAACTAACATAGCAATTTGCCCCCCGCCCTCACAACTTCAGATGGAGCGCAACCGCGTCTGGGTGTCTCACGTCGCATCTGCGTCTATGTTAGGCAAACCTGTGCTATTGTCTCCACATGCAGAGTCTTGGCCGATCTTGCCGCAGGAAGTCTTACGAGAGCTGTTGCGCGAAAAGCTCAAAGAGGTGCGTCAACCTGAAGGTGCACAAAATACCCCTAGAATCCTGCCCTACCTCGAAGCCCGTTGCATGTTCTGGGTGCACATTACGTCCGAAAGTGTCCATTGGCGATTTTGCCAAATTAGACCCTTGATTCCTGCAGACGGAGCCAAACAGGAGTTTTGTAAAAAACAAACCTGGTTTAAACCAAGAGGTTAAGTCACCCAACCCTTGGTCCGAACTGCTGTTCAAACATCAATTCAGGTGCGTTTCGCGGTCGCAAGGACTTCTGGTTTGATTGAATCCTGTTCACTGCTTTAAGCCAAAAGGGAGAACATGTATTTCAAAAGGGGCAACGACACCTCTCGGTCAACACGCGTACTGCAAACTTGCCCGGGTGCGAAACAAAGGAGAGGTATGCAGTTGCGGCACATGCAACGCGTGCATTGTTGCCTATGAGTAATGGCAGCTGAGGGCACGCCGCAGTAAGTGGCCTGTCCGATATGCATGTGGCCATCTTCTGGAATCCTGAAGCGAATCCTGCATGACTTGCGGATGTGATTGCAGCATGCCTGGGCGGGTCACCGAGGGTTAACCTAAGTGACGCGACAGGGGGGTGGGTGGGGCTTTTAAAAAGGAATCAAACCCTTGAGAACATGTCCCCCGAAGGCTTGAAGATTAAAAGACGAGGGAACCAAAAATCCCAAGTTGTTTTTCCCTGTGTCGCCTTAAGCATAATCACCGGTCGACTAAACAGAGAGTCCTCGTGCAGCATAGTAGCTTCAAGCAGCAACAAGCAAAACGAAACCCAAAATTACACCTGCATCAGGCAGATGCAAGAAAAGGGGGGCCAGGTACAAACCACAGTCTAAGACTTCGTGTTCCCACATACCAGAAAGCAAAATTATGCATGTCCTCACACGAGAAAACACGGGAGCTGCCGGCGGAGGCCGTGCACCGCACGAAGCGCCCCGAGGATCGCAACGCCACGGCCGTGGTGGACGGGGCATCCAGACGCTGAAGAAGGACCTGGCTACAAGGGTGGCCCGCAGAGGCGGCCGGTGGAGCGACCACTTCAAGAAAGCCAGCCGTGGGAGCGACAAATAACTTCTCGCCAGGCCTCAAGCCTTTCTGGCCAGCAGCTTTGCGTGGACTATTGAAAACCGAGACGAATGCGCCAGGTTGCAGTTTGCTGGCCCTATTTCCTCATCGTGGCCCTTGTCGCTGCTATGGCTCGTGATGACGATTAAAGCAGGAGAAAGGGTTTTCTGTGACACACAGCATGCGGTTGCAACTACCGCTGACAGTGGGGGAATACACACGGCAGGAGCACACGGCAGGAGCACTGGATCTCAAGTCTACACAGACGAAAAACACCTCAAAAAATATCGCGTCCAGCAACCGCCACACACACACACACACATCGTTTTTTGCAACGCGGAGCCCTGTCTGTGCCTTTGCTTGCAGCTTCAGGTTTCACCCAAAGTCCGCAAGCTTGTTTTGCAAAGGCCTGCCAAGCTTCTCGAAGAACAGTCGAAGGGGCCCGGCCCGCTCCAAGAGGAGCTCCGCGAGGCCTGCCTTGCTGAAATAGACGTTGGGATTGTCAAGGGACCGGCCCTCCTTTTTGATCTCAGTGGTGTAGAAAATGGGTAAGGCTTGGAGCACCCTTGGATCGGCTCGGAGGCCAGCCAATGCTTTTTGTGCCTTGTCTTCCACCGAGGGCCACTTGCCCACGAACTCCTGTACATACTTGGTTTGCACGCCAAGAATCAATAGATGGGCGTTTGGGTCCTTGTCCCCAGGCCCTGTCGGCTGCAAGCTTCTTCGAAGCAGCTGTCGGTGATCTTTGCGTGGAACTGTCCATGGCACCAAATACTCAATCCCTTTCTCAGTGCGCTTCTGGGACACCACGATGCTGCCGTACTCTAAGGAGCTCATCACCTCGTCAACGTCGTCAAAGGAATCGAGCTCCACCACCGAGTCGCCAGAGTACTGCAACCCCGGCATGACACGCACTGCTCGCAGGCTCTCTGGCTTCAAGTTCGCCCCTGGGAAGAGCTGCTCCAGCGTGCAGCTTTCCTTCTCCAGTGCCAAACGCACCGCAGCATCGAAGTGAAGCATGACGGCCTCGAACTTCTTCTCATGCGTGGTCTCCAGGACAGAATCCTCTTCAAACATCTTCTTGATCTGGTTTGCCAAGGGCTCACGGTGGCGGTCAGCCCAGCTTTGCAAAACGAGCGGGTGCAACACTGATTTGCGTTTGTCGCCAAACCGCGCGGCATGGACTAAGCCTCGGGAGGCGAGGTCGTCATGCATTCCAGGCGGAAGAGTCGCGCTGGGTGAGAACCAGAGTCTCACCTCGTCACTTTTCAAGGCTTCAGGATGATCAAGCTTCGCAATGCTTATCATTGTCTTGCGAAATTGGACCAAGGCAGAGGTGGTTTCGGGCAGTCCACATGTAGAGAAGGCGTCCTGTAAAGCGTCAAACATCAAGCGAGGATGTCCGAGTATCTGTCGCAACAGCTGTTTTCTGCCCGCCGTAGCCTCAAAGGCTCTGCGAATTTTCTGAGGCACCAAGTTCAAGGCCTCCGGAGGCAAACCAGTCAAGGAGATCAGCCTAACTTTGCGGCCGGAATCGCTTGATCGCTTCTTGAAGTAGCTTTCGACGAGCGCCGTCCAGATAAAAACTACTGGACGATGTCCCGAAAGGAGGGATTCATCTTGCGCTTGCATGATTGTAGAGAGGAAAAGGCTGGTTGAATTGGAACCGTACTTCTTCTCCAGCTCGATGAGCTCATCCACACCCACCAACAGAAGCGCGTCGTCTGCCAGTCCCAGCTTGCGCCGCAAAGCCCACATCACCTTCTCCCATGGAAGAGCTTCTGAACACCATGCAGCGTCATCCGGCCGCATGCCGGCGTACCGAAGTAGGACTTGTGAGAAGGCTTGTGTTGGGTCTTTGCGCCCATGCCATGTGCTCCCATTGAAATCCACTCGCAGCGCCGCCCTTGCCGCAGTTTCGCTGAGCCAAGTAGTGCACATCTCGTGCAGGAGGCGGGTCTTGCCTATGCCCTTGACTCCAGCGGTCACCATCACGCTGGACTTTCCCAGGGGCGGCGCAATCTCCCAGAAGGTTGAATTGGTAACGTTTCTGACGCCACAAATATAGCCTAGGAGTTCTCGCTTGGCCTCCTCGCGCCCTATCAACGTAGGCTTCATCGCCGCTGGCTGACACACCGTCCAGCTCGTTGATAAGATGGCCTGGGCTAGGGTTTTGGGGCTGACAATGCTGCATTTTAGATGGTTGCTACTTGGCTATTCTACAAACCCACCCCCCCGTCCTCGATGGCAGCCTGCTGCCCATCTGCCTGGGAAAGAGGCATCAAATTGGAGCCTTTGTTTAGGGTCAACTCAACTGCTCGAAGATGTGACAATACTCAAAGTCATAGGGGAACAACATGGAATTTAAGGGCCAGCAGTCCCTGCCTGCAATTGTCAAACAGGCAGCCAGAAACTTCTTTCTGTCACAGAACAGTTCTCTCATGCTTGGGGGAAAGGTGTTGTTGCAAGCGTCTTGCACCCTGCAAATGGGGGCCAAGATCACACCGACTGCAACAACCGCTGGCTCAAACACTTGCGCGGTTCCTTCCCCGCTGTTTCTTTTTTTTGCGAGACGCTGACACTTCATAACAGATCAAAAAGAAGCATTGGGCACTTAATGCAAAAGCCGAGCACTAGGAAAGCAAGGAATACAAGTGATACCAAAACCGAAACAAAACCAACAAACATCCAGCAGGAACATTGCCCATGGACGCAACCATTCGTGGGGCTCCACAGTGAGTCGCATCACGTGCGCCAACAATGCAGCCAGCTGAAGCCCAAAAAAATGCGCTGTGCTGTGCCCAAACGGGATCTTGGGATTTCATGGTTCTGTGGATGCGATCACAGCAGAAATACATTGTGCACACTTTAGCAATCTCCTCCATGCTCGTGCTGTCGGAACAAAATTTAACCTTCGGATTGCATTGTGTCTGCAGCAGCAACGACCATGGCAGAAGGGTAGGTCTTGCTCTTCAAAAGGCAGGCGACTGGAACAGCAGGCTCTTCAATATTTGCGGGTTCCCCCTCGACTGTTTGATAGTTTTGCGCTCCACCAACCACTCACACCAAATCAGGCAGATATGAACAGGTACGGAGAAAATTGAACAACAGAAGGGGATGGAATGGCAGCAACACGGGCAAAACATCGAGCAAGAACACTGCCAGTGGACGCAAAGCCGGGAATGGTTGAGCTCACATTCATAGAATGCACTTGTGCCTGCAGCAGCAAGGGCCCCAATGATTGCAAAGACATCAGAGTTTGCCCTCCCTCTCCCCGGCAGACGGGCAGGTCTTGCTCTTTCAAAAGCAGGCTGGGGGCAAGCGCAAAATCACTCACAACGATCAACGGCACGTCTCAATCAATGTCGACCGGCAGGAATGACCGACCTCCAACAAGGAAAGGCAACCATCCGTTCATGGGGGCTCCATACCGAGCCTGCCAACGACACGAACCGCCGCAATCTGCAAAAATGCTATCTTGGGATTTCCTGGTTCTCTGGATGCGATCAGGGCAGCCCCACCAAAACCATGTGCGGGCCGCGCGGGGAATTTCAGAACCGCACGCAACGATCAGAGTCCCAGAACGCAGCCGGCCGGCGGAAGCGACCGACTCCGCCCGCCTCGGACTCCTTCGTCCGGCCGCTTGCCTTCGCCTCCTTGACCTCCTTCTTCGCCCTCTCCACCTTCCTTTCCGCCTTCTCCACCTTCCTTTCCGCCTTCTCCACCTTCCTCTCCGCCTCCTGTACCTTCCTCTCCGCCTTCTCCACCTCCTCCTTGGTGCCTGATTCCTCCGCCTTCTCCAATCTGGCGACGGCTTTGACTTTCTGCTCCTGGGCAGCTTCTTGCTGCGCGAGCGCAGGCTTCAGCTGCTGCCGCGCCAGGAGCAGGTCCTGCCCAGCAAGACTCACACGCCGAAGCAGCGCGCACAAACAGACGGCCTCACGACATGTGAACTCACCTTTTGGCAAAAGAAGCAAACAGTCCTGCCTCCTCCACAAACTCGCGCAGTTTTTGTTGCAACTCGTTCTTTCAGCCCTGAAAGGGTCCACTTCCCTGGATATATCTTCTGCGCTTTTCCTGAGCTCAACACTTTCACCGCTCTTGCAACCCCGACCCGTGCTGCTCCAGCGGCGCAAGACGGCTTTGGTCTCTTTCGCCGTGCCGTTGTCCTCCAGCACCCTGTCGGCTTCTGCGACCACCTGAGCGAGGCCAAGCTGGGACGTCGCTTTCTCTGAAGGCCCGCCGCCTCCTCGAGATCGAGCCGGTCCTGACAACCAACAAGCCCAACGTTCAAGCCCGATGCACGTGTCCCCCAGGCCTGGCCCTGTTGTCCTGGCGGCAACCGGCAAAAGATGCGAACAGGCTTCGGGTCGGAGGAGTCCTCTTGCGCAGCCCCGGCGCGCCGAGCGACTCCGGCATGCAACGGGTGCTGTTTTGCCTGAAAGAGCCAAAGTGCAATCTGCTTGCGCCTGCGGGCAACTCTGAGAACTGGGCCAATATGCTGTCCTGGCACGCAGCAAAACAAGAACATCCCAAGGAGGGACATCATGCTCCTTCAGCCCAGGAACTCCTCGAGCAAAGTCCGGGTGGCGGCGACAAGGGACTCCTGAAACCGAAAACCTTCGGAAAAAAATGTGTCCCAAGACCCAGGCCTGACGAGCAGCGCCACGAGATACCAAACTGGCCTGCCTGCAAAACAAGCAGCCGTTTTCGGCTTGAAGGGATCTTGCAAGAACTCCGCCGGGTACCACGCAGCTGGCATTCTCCAGATCATAGGGTCATGCAAAAACACAAAACGCCAAGACACACACACACATTCCAAATGGGCCCCTGCTCCACAACACCACAACAGCATCTCCCGACTACAAACACGGATGTAGAAAACACCATGTGGAGACATACCAACATAAGGCACACATAAGATATAAAGACCAAAAAAGAGAAAGGTAAGATACAAAGATATAAAAATATGAATTTTACAATATAAATTTTTGAAAATTTAAAAAAGATACATGTATGAAAATAAATAGATATGAGTACACAAAGATAAATAGATAAGGCATTTGCACTGCTCCTAGCTGAACCCAAACAAGACCAACAAAAGTTCGAAGCGGTTCTTTTTACCGGGATTGCTGAAACTGCTTCCAGGGCAGTGCACTGGCGCAGAGGTGACCCGTGAAACTGAAGGCAAGACATGGTGTCCTTGCAAATGCGTGCGTGGAAACTTTGTAGTACTTGAGCCAAAGCACAAACGCTCTCCAGCCGGAAACTTTGTAGTACAACGCCGCGCATTTAGGGGGCACCCCAAAAGAACAGCCGCAATGCGGCTGGGGAGAAAACATCGCGCATCCCAAAAAGCTTTTGCAGGGGGGGGACCAGTGGCTCGGAAACACCCGCACTCAAAAGCGTCTGTTTTTCACAAGAACTGTTCGTGCTGCGCATCGTCAACAAATAATCAGAACAGCTTCCAGCTGGCAAGTTGAGCTGCGCCCTCTGGTTCGATGTGCAAAAAAAAGCATGGCTGCGATCAACGCCAATCTGGCGCGGTCACACAAACCATGGCTGTAAGCACTGCCCGTTGGCGCAATGCTGCAAGCCTGCCTATCCATTTGGCACTGAAACCAAAACCTCCTCTCACAGCTAAACTGTGGCGACTCTTGTTGAATTCATCGGCAAAAAGCTCATCCATCATACGCTGAATTGGGTCCTGCCTGCTCAACCCTGTCCACAAAGCGCCAGGAACCGCGCACAGGTCTCCCGGTCCAACTTGGTGTCCAACATGGCAACGCAAGTGTCAAAGTTGTTCACAAGCTGGGCCAGCGCAGGCGGCAAGGACTTCCTGGAGAAAACCTTCTTTGCAACCACCGCCAGGACAAAGAAGCCGTTCTTCAAGCGCACTGCGCCAACCGACAGGTTTTTGAGGGCTATGGCCTGGATGGGGTCCATGAAGAAGACAGCTGTTCGTCTGGCAGCTTTTGCCTCTCGCGGCAACAAATCCGCTCTGAAGTTTCCCAGTATACGTGGGGCGGGCCGGCGTCAAGTTATGGTTCGCCAGTTTGTCAAACAAGGGGGTGTGCCTGACTGCATCAAGCTGGAGAGCTGCAAGCACAGACCTCCAATTGACGTGCTCAATCTGTAGCTGGGCGCCTCTGCTGGCACAACGATGGGCTCATTAGACAAGGAGATTGAAAGCTTCAGGTCTTCATCAGCCTCACTGCCTTCACTGCCTTCTTAGCCCTCGTCGCCTGCAACCTCCTTCTCTCCAGCTTCGGGCGGACTCTCACTGGAAGCCCTGCTCAGGCGGGACTGGCACCAACACTTCTGGGCCCCATCTGGCAGGGCCTCGGCCTCAACTGGCTACGCTCCCGATGGATGGCAAAAATCTCAACCAAAAATGGCTCACAACTCGCAAGGTGAAAGTGAAGTCATGCAACCTCAACTCGCAAGGTGAAAGTGAAGTCATGCAACCTCAACTCGCAGGGTGAAAAGGTAAAAACATGTTGCCGCAACTCGCACGGTGAAAAGGTGAAGTCGTGTGGCCGCAACTCAGGAGGTGAAAAGGTGAAGTCGTGTGGCCGCAACTCAGGAGGTGAAAAGGTGAAGTCGCGTGGCCGCAACTCAGGAGGTGAAAAGGTGAAGTCGTGTGGCCGCAACTCAGGAGGTGAAAAGGTGAAGTCGCGTGGCCGCAACTGGAGGTGAAAAGGTGAAGTCGCGTGGCCGCACCTCAGAAGGTGAAAAGTGAACATGTGAAGCTGTAGAACTGCATCACGAGGCAAACAAACGCAAGTCCACAATCCTCAGGGCCGGGATTTTCACCTTTTCACCTTCCGTTTGGGGGCCGGGATTTTCACCTTTTCACCTTCCGTTTGGGGGCCGGGATTTTCACCTTTTCACCTTCCGTTTGGGGGCCGGGATTTTCACCTTTTCACCTTCCGTTTGGGGGGGGGGGAGGCCGGGATTTTCACCTTTTCACCTTCCGTTTGGGGGCCAGGATTTTCACCTTTTCACCTTCCGTTTGGGGGAGGCCGGGATTTTCACCTTTTCACCTTCCGTTTGGGTGGGGGCGGGATTTAAAAAAAGAATCCCCCCAGACCCGTTGGGCGAACCAGTACTGAAAAAAACCCGAAACCCCTCCCCTCCAGACCCGTTGGGCGAACCAGTACTTAAAAAAACCTGAAACCCCTCCTCTCCAGAGCGTTGGGCGAACCAGTACTGTTGGATTTCCAAATGGCTTATCCGGGCGGCCTGCTGATCAGAAAGGATATAAACCGTGCTTAAAAAGCAAATCACGTGAAGAATTGCACTGCATGACCCAAATATGGAAATGCGTGAAGCTCCAACAGTACCACAGCTTTAGAACCTGGCTCAACCTCCAAACGACCACCGCCAACCAATTTCCGGCCACCTTCCCACCACCTTCCGACCACGCTCCGACCACCTCCAACCACACCCCGACCACCTTCCGACCACTCTCCGACCACCTCCGACCACCTCCCGACCACCTCCCGACCACCTCCGACCACCTCCGACCACCTCCCGACCACCTCCCGACCAGCCTTCAACCACGCAAGGCCACAGTGACGGGAACGGGCCCAAAACATGCCAAGTTCGCCGTTTGGGGCTACATTTAAGGAAAAGTGGGATTGAGCTTCCTAATAAGGAATTTTGGAAATCCAACAACCAGTACTTAAAAAAAAAAACGAAACCCCTCCTCTCCGTTGGGCGACCCGAAACCCCTCCTCTCCAGACCGTTGGGCGAACCAGTACTTAAAAAAACCCGAAACCCCTCCCCTCCAGACTGTTGGGCGACCCGAAACCCCTCCTCTCCAGACCGTTGGGCGAACCAGTACTTAAAAAAAACCGAAACCCCTCCCCTCCAGACCGTTCTCCCCTCCAGACCCGTTGGGCGAACCAGTACTTAAAACAACAACGAAACCCCTCCAGACCCGTTGGGCGAACCAGTACGAAAAAACGAATCGGGTGCAACGCACCTCTTTTGGGAAGCCTCCCAAACCACGTCCTTAGAGACCCCAAGCACAAGACGCAAACCCCGAGGTCCCTAGGGTCCCTGGACCCACATGACCAGGGTCCCTAGGGTCCCTGGACCAAGTCCCACATGACCAGGGTCCCTAAAGTCCCTAGGGTCCCTGGGCAAGAACCAAGCCCTGCATGTTTTTTTGCCACTCAAACTGGACGATTTTGGCCACCAAAAATTCTACAGAGCCCAGGGACCCTAGGAACCCCAAATATTTCAGGGACCCTGAAGACCTTGGGTCAATGTGCAACTTGGTCCAGGGACGCCAGAAACCTTAGGGACGGGACTTGGTCCAGGGACCCTAGGGACCCTACGGACCCTAGGGACCTTAGGGACTCAGAAACCTGGGTTGGGCGAGGCAGTACTTAAAAACCCCGAACCCCCCCAAGACCCGTTGGGCGAACCAGTACTCAAAACAAAACCCAGCCCCCTCCCAGACCCGTTGGGTGAACCAGTACTTAAAAACGAATTCCTCCAGACCCGTTGGGTGAACCAGTACTTAAAAAAAACCCAATCCCCTCCCAGACCCGTTGGGCGAACCAGTACTTAAAAAAAAAGAATCCCCCCTGACCCGTTGGGCAAACCAGTACTTAAAAAAAAAAAACGAATCCCCCCAGACTGTTGGGCAAGTCAGTACTTAAAAAAAAAGGAAGCCCCCCCAACCCGTTGGGCGAACCAGTACTTAAAAAACGAAGCCCCCAGACGGATCCCCATGTCTGCCAGGTGTGAAGTGGCATACAGGAATCCCACATCACGGCATCGCCGCATCAACCCAAACCGGCGAAAAGGGCAAAAATCGAAAATCCGAAAACGACAGAAAGTAAGGGAGGGCTGGCAGCACCGCTGGGGCTCGGCAAAAACAGCCTCCGGGAACCCTGGAAACGAAAATCAGAAAATTTGGGTGCGGCATTACGCACAAAAGACATCACCAGCGCGCCCAGCACCACCCCCACCACCAACCCCAAGGGCAACACTTGACAACACACATGCTTGCACCGCGTTCCCTCAGGGCCCTGCCAGTCGAGTAAAGGCCCCCAGCACGTTGCCCGTGCTGCCCGCGATCACAAGGCAGCCGGGGTTCCTCGTGGTCAAGGACAGCTGCGTCAAGAGGCTCTTCGTCTGCACCAGCGCCTTATCGTTGATCATGATAAGCTCGCACTGGTCCCACCGTCCCGCTCCAGGAAGACCCTGGCGCTTTGGTTGCCCAGCAGCCGCAGTCGCTGTTGTTGGACACTTGCAGCTTGCTCCAGCCCGCCCATTTGCAAGGGACACCCTCTCTCTGTAGAGGGCGTTTTCCAAATGGTTCATATTCTACCTGAGAGGCTTCTAGCACTCGTCCGTCCAGCATTTGACCTCGTCCTGCGAAGGATTCGAAGTCTAAAACGCTGCGTGCAGGCGTGTGGCTGCAAAATAGAGACCCCTAGATATGCTTGCAATTTGGCTCCAGGTTGCATTTCAAGCGAGCCAACCTTTGCAGGGCTAAGAAAAACAAAAAAAAAGAAAACAAGGGGTCCAAAAAAAAGGGGTCCCCGAAAAAAAGGGAAAAGGGGTTTCCTTTGGCAAAGCTTGACATCGCTTGAAATGC